CGTAAGTGGGGGTAACGTGGATGCAATTAAGAGACTTGCGGTGCATCCCTTGATGAATGATAAATAGAGTTTCGAAGAAAGGATGAGACCCACCAATAAAGTCCTGCTGAGATATGCCTGTCAAGACTGAAGTGTTTATCTCATGTTTTCTCTGTCAATTCTTCACTTCTGCCTGAATGATCGCTCAGTAAATAATGTGCAGCCTTTCAAATAATGTGTTAACTTATTTTCTGTCAGTTGTTTGCCCAGGCCTGTCTGAGGACTCTGTGTGTTGCGGTTCGATCTGTTCCTGAGGCATCATGGGAGCAGTGGAGTAAAACTCTGGCCCAGTCTGCTGCCATGGCGACCTGTGACCGTGACGTATTGCTGGAAAAGTTATATGATCAGATGGAGAGAGACCTGCAGGTGGGCTCTTCCTCAATGTGATTTTTACATGTTTATTGCCATTCCTTTATTTAAATTGGTATAGCTGACAATTGACAACGTATCACCAATACAGACAACCCTTTGGTTAGTGCTTAATAGTTAGTGCCTTTTACTTTTCCCTAAATCAAGTTTCATATATGTGGAGCATAAAGTAGTAGTAGTAGTAGTTCACTCGTAAAAATAAAATTTTAATTTTCATGTTCTGTAGCTCCTGGGGGTGACAGCAATAGAGGACCGGCTTCAAGAGGGCGTTCCTGAGACTATTGCTCTACTCAAACAGGCTGGGCTTAAAGTATGGGTACTGACAGGAGACAAAAAAGGTATTGTGACATATTGTACCAGGCGATGGGAACGGCGCCATTTTAATGCTGTACTGTTTCCACATGAAAACAAAGCCTCATTGTATTCTTTCTTTCCTGCTCCATCTTTCTCTGTCCTGGAAGAGACTGCAGTGAATATTGGATATTCTTGCAAACTGCTGGATCCTGATACCAGATTACTGGAATGGCATGAGCTGAGGTTAGCAATGATAAAAATACATACACACACACACACACACACACACACACACACACACACACACACACACACACACACACACACACACACACACACACATCATCTCATTGATCTTTGTGTGTTTGCCCCTGCAGAGAGATACTCCAGTCCCCAGACCCAGGGGTCAGTTTCTTCAAGGCCAGACAGACAGAGCTGTGGGCTGTCGACAAAGGGAGGGATGGAGAAAAGACTGCTGTGGTCCTCACTGGACCTGAGCTGGTAAACTGGACATACAGGAAATAGATTACTCATTTGGTTTTCAAATGGCCAAATAGCTGTGGTCATATAGTTTGAACACGACTCTGTATCATGAAACACTGTATTGTTAATGTCAGAGAATGGGATAGGATAGTGGAAAGTGGAAATGAGGTGATGCTGTAAACATAACTCTGACAATAAGTGATGGCAAACTTGTTAGCAAACATATCTAGCAGATAAGGAGCCACATTAGCTTTCATTTGGAGTCATGTTTGTGGCTACCTGAGTCCAGTATTCACTCTTCTTTTAGCTCTAACTCTGGTCTCTACTAACCTTTAGCTAGCTCAACTATATTCAGCAGCTAGTCTTTAACTGTGTCTGTCTGCTGTTCGTGGCTGAACAAGTAGTATGCAGTGTGTTTTTGCTCCAGATGTTCAGTCCAGTTTTCTGCATCTGAAAATAATGCTGATGACAGTAGTGAGACTGAACCGGGCTATAAAACCATAACAGTGAGTTCCGTCGATCTGAGGGCAACTACAGAGTGGGTTGATTGTCTGTGGATTCGTCTCTACAAACAACCCCCTTCATATTACAGAGTCAACTGACCCGTTAATGTAAACATATGGATATGTCAGCTTTATAAATATACACTGGTAGAACTAAAATGCCTTAAAACAAGATTTGTTCTTTGAGATGTCAAAGCTGTCAGAAACTGAAAAGCAAAGGTCCATTAGAGACTAGGACCATTTTATATCAATATTGGTGTTTGATGGTGTTTTACTCCAGGCAGAGTTTGACCAGAGACCAGAATGGGGGGCCACGTTCATGAGCCTGGCAGAACAGTGTCAGTCGGTCCTATGCTGTCGTGTTACACCTGGACAGAAGGCTGACATTGTCACGTTGGTCAGGAAACACACCAGCTCAGTCACCATGTCCATTGGGGACGGTGCCAATGACGTAAACATGATCAAGAGTAAGTCGGGTTAAATAAAAAGATGGTAGAATGTGTGTTTGTAGCTTTAAATTGTAGACAGATGCTGCCTATCAGTATAGTCTGTTTGTGTCCTCTTGTTTTTGCATTTTCTTCCTCTATTTTGATCCATGTATTTTCTTACTGTTATCTTTCCCCAACACCAGCTGCTCATGTTGGTGTGGGAATAGCAGGAGTGGAGGGAGGTCAGGCAGTGCAGAATGCAGACTTTGCGTTGTCCCAGTTCAGATTTCTGCAGAGGCTGCTGTTGGTCCATGGGCGCTGGTCCTACAGGCGCATTTCCCTCTTCTTGCGCTACTTCCTGTTTAAGACCTGTGGTTTTGCACTAGTGCACATATGGTTTGGTATCTTCAACGGCTGCAGTGCTCAGGTTAGACGTGGATGAAATTCAATGAAGACTTCATTAAGTGAGGTTAAAATCCTGCATTTATTCCACTCTTTATTTCTCTCTTACAGTCTCTGTATGAGACATGGTTCATCGCTCTCTACACTGTCTTCTACACAGCGACCCCAATTATGCTTGTGGCCTTCTTTGAACAGGTGAGATGAATGTTTTTATGAACTCAAGAATCATATTTTGATATCTGATCATCAGCACTCACATCAGTTCATTTTCAATAACATATTTAAGTTTAGTTTGAGTCATAATGCTTCACTCTGCCGCATTTTGTTTTAGGACGTGAGTGCAGAAAGCAGCCTGAAATGGCCGGAGCTGTACAAGTCTGGGCAGAGACAGGAGCTCTCCAGCCCTCTCATGCTGTCCTTGTCGCTCCTGTATGCTGTCTATGCATCGCTTGTTCTGTTCTTCATTCCGTTTGGAGTCTTCTACGACACAGCCGTTGACTACCAGACCATGGCAGTCACTGTCGCCATGGCAGCCACGTTCACTGCCACCATTGAGGTCAGGAACACACTTTTCAAAAGTGAACTACATAAACTTGCGGTCGCAAATCAAACACAAATGTTATGAAAATGAACTATTCAAATCTTGTTTATTTAGAAATGATGGAAGCTGCTTGTACAAACTACAGATAGAGTAGCTAAGCATGAGGCAAATTATGATCATGATTATTGTTATTTAATTGTTATTAATGATCAGTGGCTTCGTTCAGAAAATTCTCCTCTGATTGTTTCTGTTTGTCTTTTAGATTGTGCTGGTGACCAGATACTGGACAAAGTTCAATATAGCATCTGTGTGTGTCTCTGTGGTGCTTTTCTTCATCTGTACCAGGATCACCCACAACCCCCGCCTGTTTCAGAAATCACCTCAAGACTATTTATTTCTTGGTACACTTACTCATCTCAGTGCTTGGCACTTCATTCCTGTCACTTGAGTTATGTTGCTCCTGGCTGTGACCATTTCAACATCCATTTGATTCACATGGAGACATATTATATCAAACAACTGTAGACAAAAACATACAACCAAACATGCACAAGAACATTTCTGTTGATCTGATTGTGTCACAAACCCCCGTGAACAGGTTTGATTGCTCTGCGTGTGTGTTTTCCATCAGGTGTTTCTGATAAGGCCTTTGTCGATCCACTTGTGTGGCTCACAGCTCTGCTCACTGCTTGGATGGCCGTTTTGCCCTCAGTGACTGCTCTTGCTCTCAATGTCATCCTCACCGTCCATGACAAACACAAGGTGAGACAAAATAAAATACCATTGACAGAGTAAGCAAAAGAAGTGGAATATCAATTTACAAAGGAATAGTTCAAAAATAAAAATGTTGCACTCCCCTGGATGTTAGTGAAAAAAACAACAGTTGAAATTAACCAAACACAGAGAGTTAGCTCCTGTACGTCCATCTCAACCTTTTTTTCTATTAAATATACTATTGAAGACTTCCATAAAATGTCTCCAGATAATCTGCAGCAGCCTCACGTTGGTGTTTTACAGAAAAGGTTGTATGATAACCTCATTGTTTTTCTCAATGATGATTCTCAAGTTATGTACATCCTACTGGGTTCTGACAGTAAATTTGCTCACTGCTGATGACAAAAACCTAAACCAATACTGATACTGAATTTGGTTGCTGTTTTATGTTATTTTGGAAGCTGACCTAGTTTACCAACCCTATATTTTTTTAAATATCAGATGGGGTGAGTTGTTTACGGTTCACAAAGTTATTTAGGTTTAATTTCTCTAAAACCAAAAGCATGAACTGTTGTGATGGCAAGTGGTCACTGACCTCACTCTCATGTGGCTTTGATGCAGGTCCACAGTGCATCCCATCAGCCAGTGGAGCTGAGGTCAAAGCTGAGAAGAGGAACTTCTCTTCGGCGTTCCTCTTACGCGCTCTCTCAGGGAGCCGGGCCTGGACGCTTCATCACTTCAGGGACCTGCAGCCGTAGCACAGCGCCGCCGGTGGATGAGAAGATGACTTCAAATAATAACCCCACTGACTCACAAGGCCAAATTAACATGAAGGACAATAGTGATGCACCAAACGGTACACAATAATGACTGAACTAGGTTTTGATATGGGGAAGTATGTGATCCTATAGATTGTTACTGCAGCATAGAACTGAAAAGATGATCTGTATTTAAAATTACTACTACTTTTTGTGGCCAGTTCTTAGTAGAGCCAACACTGATCTTTTGTATTGCTACTATTTTCCAATAAATTATATAATGTACAAAATACATTATGTTCTGTAAATCTCTTTTATTATTTTTACATAGACAGTTTACCTCTGCATGAATATCTCTGATCTTTGTTGTTTGAGCCTGTTGTGGTTAGAAATCTAATTTCCATCTGCTGGGGGTCACAGGGGATTTCCTTTGAAGATCAAACCAAACACAATAACCAACAGCACCTGCTTGTTTTACAATTGTTTTATTTGTTAATTTATTTCAAAACACGCAATTTTACCCATATTATCCTTTTAAGTTTTTATTTTTCTGTAACAGTTATTACTCAGATTTTTTTCCTTCTCAAAAGTCTCAACTAGAGTGAAACTAAAAGTCCTCCACAGGCTCTCCGGCTTCTGCAGTGGGAGGAGGGAAAAGAGGCTTTCTGACCAGACGTCGTGAGTGGGTTTATCCCTTGTTTCTGTGTGTGTGGAAGTGTGTGTGTGGGAGTTTACACCAGGGTGTGTATACGTATGTATATGTGTGTGTGTGTGTATGTTTAAGTGCATTAGGTGGAATGTCCACATGGCCGGTAAATCACAGGACCCGTAGAGCAGCCCAGAGAGCTGAACATTGTCTTCTAGGTTTGGTAGCCAGATTGTCATACCTCTGATTTCATCTTTGGTTTCAGCAAACACTCTCAAAAGGCAGACTCACCCTCTCCAGCATGTGCCTGTGTCTGTTTGTGTGTCTGTCTGTCTGTACGTACGAGTGCAATATAAGCCACCATCTCCAGACGACTTTGTAAACTTAAGTAAATACAATGTATGTGTCTTTGTATTGATTGTGGCCCTTCCTTGGCGCTGGGGACAAAGACAGTCAAACATTGTAGTACAATGGAGCCATGAGCGGGGGAGGATCAGCTTGCAAACATCAACATGGACTCCATTTTGATGTCAATGGCAGTTTGGGGCATTCATGTAAAGCTGTACGACATCAGTCTGGTGAAACATGGGGTGCTGTAGTGCTCTTCTCTCCCCAGCCACACTCTACTGTTAACCTGAGTGACTGGGGGGTATCTCTGCCTGCTCTGCGCTCTGGAGAGGGAGGGGGGGGAGGGAAACGGGAAAACATCATGGAAGTGTGAGCGGGAGTGTTTAAATGTCGAGGGGAGGGAGGGGAGGTTGAGGGTTGTACACTCTGACCCAGCAGCAACGATTAAGATTGGGGGGGTCAGGTGTTTGCATAGTTCTCTGTGCAAAAGCCACCAACCGGAGCCATTTTTATTCCTCGCGGCTGGTTACATCATCATTAGATTAGCAGGAAATTGTGGTGGGTGATGGGAAATATGGTCCTTGCACCACAGGTCTTGTTTTCTACTCCTGCAGTGCTCTACATTGTGGCAGTAGAAGTGCAGGAGGGTGAAAAGTGATGGGGGGGGGATGAGGAGGGAGTGAATTTAAAATGTGTAATGAGTTTTGGTTTGGAGTGTCGTGTAACTGAGTCATGTTGAGCCTGAACGTCAGATTTGGCCATGGATGGGATGGAAGATGGATGTTTTGGAGAGTGCAGGGACGGAAGGGCAGTCGTTTGGCAGTCGGGCACTACAGCTCGTCACAACTCAGAGAGCCTCTTTTCCCTTGATTTTGTTCTACCATCCTCCCCTTCTTCCTCCCCACTGGCCTGCCCTCTCTCTACCTTTTTTCTTGTTTTGAAACTGATTGTCTTCTACCATCACAAAGACACTTGGTTCTGATTGATTAACAGGTAACAGAAGAGGGAGAGCACAGTGTGACTGGGGGTGTCTACACCAGTCCCATTGGCAACCTTCGATCCCACAGTGAAATGACACACACACATATGCTGTTTGACAGTAAATGCTGACGACATTTCGGGTCGGATTATCAGTTGCCAAATGGTACTGCGGTTGGTTGGTCGGTCAGTCAGTAAGAAATGGTTTCAAATTTTCGCATGACAAATATTGCAACCCATAGTAAAGGAACATAAAAAAGAAACACTTTGTCTTCCACATAGGTACAAATGAGCACACATACACAGATTGAAGAAAAGCATGTAGACAAACATACAGGTATATTCAAGGCCGCTCGGGCCTGTGTGTGTCCCTCTGATTAACTCCAAGTAAACAGCCCGTCTTTGGAAAAGCAAGACACACATTTCAGGACCCGAGTGAGGACCACAAGCTGAGGAATGAAGATTGAATGCTATTGATTGGGAGGAGAGGAGTTTGACCTCCCCCAGCACACACTGCCCCCTACTGTCTGGATTTATATACATCAAAGAAACATGGGGAAAGGGGAAGGGTTGCAACAATACATGCACACAACCAGTGAATCCAACAGTGACGGAAATTCTAAAAACAAGGACCCCTCCAATGCCTAAAACCCAAATCCTCCCACCCTTTTTTTTTTTGTTTTGATAACCAAAATATCCCCCACCCCATCTCCACCCACTCCCAAGTCTTTCCATCCTCCTCCTCTCCCCACAAAATCACAGGTCATTCCTGTTGGTTTCTATACAGTTATACAATATCCATGCACAAAAGAAAAAAGCGCACCTTCTTTTCAATAGGAGGTGCTGGTTTTTAATATTCTAAGAACATCAGGAGCACTTGAACACACCCAGGAACCTTCAAAAGTAACTGTGAAATTGTTTTTTTTTTTTCAGAGAAAAGACAACTTAAAGGCAGAAGAAAGCTAACAATGAGTAAAAGGTTATTCTTCCTTTGGTTTAACATCAAATTTTTGGTTTAGAATTCAGCCCAAATCATATTTTTGTAATTTCTTTCTTTGTTTTGTGTTTTTTTGTTGTTTTTTCCTTTTAAATGTACCAGCCTTGGAGAGGGCTTTGAACTAAACATCTGAAGTGAGTAGCTCTGGCCCCTCTCTCTTTAGTCTAGCCTTCTCTTCTGTCTCTTCTTTTCTCATGTAACCCTCCACAGAAACATTCACAATGTCTTTTCCTTTATGAAAACAGTAAGTACATGCCGTAGCAAAAAACAAACGAGAACGTACGAGAAAAATGAGCAAACAAATAAAAGGAATTTAACAGTATAAAGCTTCAAGTCACAAGTTCCAAAACTAACTATCATAGTATCATAGTTTCATAATCATTGTTATCATTAGCAGTATTATTTTCAGTCTAAATTACATAAAGTTTACATGAAAGGTTTTTGAGGTATTTCAGAATTAATTGTCAACACACGCCTACCGAGTCTTAGCACTAGCCAGGGGGAGAGGTCGACTGGACAGACAAGGTGGAGGGAGGAGAGAATTTGTGTCTATAAACTGTCAGTGAGTCTTCCAGACTTCTCTAGTGCAGCCTCTGTGCTTGCACGCAGTGGAGAGAGAGAGAGAGAGAGACATTTAGTGGTAAGATTTTACAACTACAGCCCTTCGGGCGCTCAGAGCCTCTGCCTTTCTACCCCCCTCTTTCTCTGTTACACAAAAATATCTCTGATGTGAGAGAGGTAAAGTGGCTGAGAGTCTAAGCACACCGGGCGGAGAGAGAAAAATAAACACAAAGGCTGTGAGCTACTAGAAGATCAACGATACAGTAACAAAGACTGACAGATTAAGGAGTAACATATAATTTTGTTTCAAATAAATAGTGTATAGAAAATGTTTTATAGACTTTCTACATGATAAAGTGCTTGTATTCTAGTGTATCAAGATGGAAAGTCAATATGAGAGAAAATGCTGACACAGCCCCCACTCTGTGTCCCTCTCTTTGGCCCCCCTTTCTGTCCATCCAATTATGGGTGTGTTGTCTGAATGTGAGTGTGTGTTTGTAAATGGGTGTGTAGCTATATGCATGCACCCGCAAGGCTGTGTGTGTGTGTGTGTGTGTGTGTGTGTGTGTGTGTGTGTGTGTGTGTGTATACGTATGTGTGTGTCCAGTGCAGTCCCACCCGTGGTTGAAGGGAAAAGGCACTCAACTCTGTCTGCAAGGCAGCCACCTCCTCCTATGTGGCGCGATGCAGTCCGACTGCGCTGTTAGTACAAACGTGTGTGTGTAATATTGTCAGTGTGTTGTCTGTAACGGTTCTGGGCAAGGGGGGGGGGGGCTTTTTTTTGGTTTGTGTGTCCCCCTAGGCAGTTTGGGACCGGTAGGCTGCAGTATCTTTGGTATTAGTGGCGGTTTCACAAACCACTCAGCTTAGTGAGGTAGCCACATTGGTTCTCACTACAAACAAATGTCATTTTGTCAGCTTAATACCTAGAGCTGAATCTAGCTATTTACCTATGCTCACTGAACTGTATACCACAAATCGATTTTAGCTCATCATCCTTTGGCGACATTAACTCACTGCTTACAGCAATGTGAAGTTAGTCAGTACCTCTCAATCAACTCCTCGACAATGACCATCTCTTATCTAATCTGCACCGCTAATCTGACTACATTGTTGGAAATGCTACAGTTGCATCTTAAGACCATACATATAACTATTGAGTCCCAAGCTTCACCCCCACCCTCCCTCCAATAAAACACACTGAATCAGCCAGGACATTTGGAGGTCATGTTTTGTCCCCCTCCGTTTTACCCCGTTCTTGGGGCTCAGCTTAAAGGGGGCTGAGAGTATCACAGTTCTGACATGAAATGCCAAAAGAGAGAGAGCATCCGTCATTTATTCTTCTCTTCAGCAGCTCCCTGTTTTTCTTTTTTTTTTCTCTTTCGTGGTAAATGTCTCGTCCGAGTCTATATTCACACAGAATGCAAAAAAAATACATCCTTCATTGGCCTCGGTCCTTGCATCCCTCTTTTTTTCCTTTTAAAAAGTCCTTCCTTTTTTGTTTTTGATTTATCAACAAGGTGCCTTACTTATGCACAACAGAGCACAATAGTAACAAGAAATAGAAACTTTGTGTCTATGGTACTAATTAAATACCCGCATCAATATAGAGAGGAAGAGAGAAAGAGAGGGGGGGCAATGGGGGTTAGAGGGATAGAGGAGGTAGAGAACCAAAGATAGAATGAGAGATTTTTCTTCTGCTTCAAAATGTGTCCAGTTATGTGTTGGAGACATTTCTTTTTGTATTTGTAACACATTCTGTAAGTGTGGTATCTTTGTCATTTGAGGTTTGGTTATTGTATGCCTTAAAATCTGATTCTTTTTTTCATTTTTTTACTAAAAAAGTATATTTTAATTCAGTTAAAAGCTGATTGTTGGTTGCTATGGCACACACCGCCCGTCATCAGTGGGGCGCACTGTAGCTGTGTGTGAACCCTAGTACCATATTCTTTGATTCGCATTAAGGCAGTAAGCATTGGCACTAATTATTGTAGCATTTTGACAGCTGAGTGTGGTGGTTGGCTTTGGGTTAGCTACTGATAACCCTTGTGTGGGAATAACCGGGAGATTTGGTTTGAACCACATCTGTTGAGAGCCTTTTTTTTGCAAACAGATGAAATGGAAGAATGATTTGACAAAATATGAAGCCTCCCAAAATAATGAAAATTAAACCTCCACTGCACCTCAGATGTGTATGTCTCAATAAGCCTTTCTGTTACTTTTTACTCTGTTGTACTTTTCTGTCCCCTCTGTGTGTAATTTCTGTACTTGTATTTCGTGGATTCTTTAAGATTTGGATTGGTTAAATATCCCTGCCTTCTCTAAATCCCTGCGTATTCAGCGTTCAGTTTAACCATCCCCCTCCTCCGGCTTCATCAGCGCTGGTTGGATGAGGAACAACAATAGGATAATGGTTAGCTATTGATCTGCCTTCAAAGAGCTGTGAGGGCCTGAATGTGTTGTGCCATGACTTCTCCTCAGCATCTAGTGGCTCTTCCCTCCCTCTCCTCCACTCTGAGCCCCATTGCTCTGCTGGATACAGGTCTCTGCTATCGACAGCAGGGGGCACTGTTGCTCTGCCAGCACAGGCAGGACCGGGGAGGGAGAGGTGTGCTGCTGCTGCTGCTGCTGTTGCTGTTATGAGGCCTTTGTGTCCCCATCTCCAGTGGGTTCCATGTGCTCCTCTTACATTCTGCTTTTCATATGCAGCTGTAATGTAGTTGGCTGGATGCCCGAGCGTGTTGTTGTCGCTTGGTTCTCAGTTATTGATCAGAGGAAAAGCTCCCAGCAGAACAAAGAGCATGTCCAGACATCTCACCCGCCTCTCCTGTTGGTCAGAGAAACCCAGACTCTAGGCTCAGGCTAAGAGTAACAATGACATGTCTCCCTACAGGCCTCCAACATCTGTGCAAAAAATATAGACCTGGGCCTGGAAGACCTGAGTATCTACTGCCGAGCGTCTTGAGTTTCACCTTCAGGAGGGGTCAAGGCCCCGCTCTCTCTGTCTGCATCGATTCATTTTTCAATTCATTAGTTTGCCGTATGATCAGGCTGAGCTGCTCTCTGAAATGGCTGGCCATCAGGGAATACCTTTGGCCGAGGAATGAAGGAGACTACAGGAGGAGGGGGAGGTAGAGGCGGAGAATTGGAAAGCCTTGTTTTTTTCATAGACTGCGTTGTTTTCTTTATGACGGCCTTGTGTGTGCAGGATGGGGCTTGGATAATAAGGCTATGTGCTGTTCTGTTGTCAGATTTATTGCCGTTCTTTTCGCCCTTGTTGCTTCCGTGTGCCGGCGTGGAGGGGATGAGAGAGATACTAGAGAGGCAGACACAAAGGAGGTGAGTTGGGAGAAAAAGCAGAATCAGTGGCTACTTGGGTGGTGAAGGAGGTCGGCATATATGTCTGGTACCGTCCAACAAAAACATCAAATCTTTGGTGTCTCTTTACTTTGTCAGATGCCATAAAAATGATTTTCTTTCAAAAAAGACAGAATCAATGATTGTCCTTATGTGAGTAATGCAGAGTGGACCTGACTTCACAATTCACCTTTAGATTATGCTTGTTTCAGGTGAGCGCTTGAAATTCTGACTGACAAAAAAGATGATTGCATGGCACAAAGGATTTTTTCAGGCAGAGGACACATTCAGACGGCCTAGGCCAGGTAGAGTTGTTATAGACAGGTTTCACAGCCAATTTTCCATGTTGCCTGTTGTTCCAACCTGGTTCCCTGGCCCTCTGAAGGTCCTCTCCTCCTCTCAGGCCTTGGAGAAAGTAGTGGCGGATGTACCCGGCTGCCCGGGGCTGGCACCGTGGTCGTCATGCCAGCGGTCCACGCAGCGGCGGCGTGCATTCATAAAGAAGTTGCTGACAGTGCTGAGCTCCAGGCCAAGCTGCTGGGAGATGGTGATCTGCATTTCCTTGGATGGACGCTTGTTCTCCTTGAAGATGGCGATGAGTGTGCGGCGCTGCAGGTCAGTGAAGACCAGACGTTGTTTCTTGGGCGCCGTGTTGCGGTCCTTGTGTTGCTCCTGTTCTTTGCGCTTGCAGGCTTGGTGTGGATGGCAGCGGTGGGAGGGATGGGGATGAGAGTAGGAGGCAAAGAGGGGAAAGAAAACACAAAGCAAGGTAAATATACAAAAGTGAAGTATTTTCATGATTAAATAACAAAGACAGAAGGTGGAGGGAAGTAAAGTAACTAAATGTATCATTAGCCAATACTTAAACACATAAAAACTAGTTTATACACCAGCAGATTCTACAGCTCCATCTCTATTGCCATATTAAAGTTGATTTAAAGCTAATCCATGCCTCCTGCCCAGTGGGAATATTCCTTCCATCCTGCAGAGTGCAGACAGGGAGCCAGCCTGCGGTGAGAGAAAGATGGGGGGGGGGGGGACTGGCTGTTGCCTGCTAGCTGGAGACACTGCTGTTTGATTCAATATTAATGCAGTTTGAGTCGCAATGGGGGACTGAGTGACTGTTGCACAAAAGTAAGCATTTTGTGTGTGTGTGTGTGTGTGTGTGTGTGTGGAAATGAGAGATAGAGGAGGGGCAGAGGCAGGGAAAGAAAAGGTTGGAGAGAAAAGAACAGAAAAGGTGGAGGAGTAAGACAAAAGTGTGTGCATTTATGTGTGTGTGTGTGTGTGTGTGTGTGTGTGTGTGTGTGTGTGTGTGTGTGTGTTTGTGTTTGTGTGTGTGTGTCTGCGTGTGTGTAAGAGCCAAAGAGAGGAGCTGAGAAGAGGAGGGAGGGGCGGCGAGTGAAGGAGAAAGAGAGATATTGACCGACTTTGCTGTAGGAATTGGGGGGTTCTCTGTAGGGACTGAGGTCAGAATCCCCCCCCAGCAGGTCTACAGTCTGCTACTTCAAACAGAGCCCACTGGAGCCCACTCTATTGAGCTCTGAGAGGGTATTTATAACCCACTGCCCCCCCTCCCCAAACACAAACACTCGAGAGGTGCATGCACCGGCTGCTACAAGCCCCTTCCCATACACAGAGCAATTTTCAAAAGAAAACACACCGAGTGTACTCTTTTTACGTTTGGGAGGGGGTCCGAGGGGGGCGGTGGGGTTGTAGGCAGCGAACACAGAAATTAATAGTTAATAGAGCGTTGTATTGTGGGTAAGTGTGTTGTAACTCAAAGTATTTGTAGGAGACGAGTGGAAAGCAGCAGACAGGTTGCAGCGTAAAAAGGCAGAAACGGCGCCCAGAGATGATGTAGGAGTGTGTGTGTGTGTGTGTGTGTGTGTGTGTGTGTGTGTGTGTGTGGATGGTTAAGGCACCACCTCTGCAGCCACATGTTCCCCTGCTGGCTGAGGATCGAAGTCCTGCCAGAACGGACTGTGTGTCCCTCTCAGCTTCCCTACTGTCTCAATAAAACGAGAGCAAATTGGAGAGAGAAAGAAAGAGAAAGATGCCATCCCTGTGGGGTCTCCACCTGCTGCCGTTAGTATTGTCTGATACTTTCATACTCGCCTTCAATAATGTCTCACTCTCACACTGTGTGTGTGTGTGTGTGTGTGTGTGTGTGTGTGTCTTGATGCATTTAAGGACTGATTTTTTTTTCATGTTCTACTTGTGTGTGCGCATGAGTGTGTTTGGGGAGGGGGGGGTATGTGTGTGTGATTATGCTGAAGTGGCTGGAGCCAAGCAGTGGCGCTGTGTGTCTAATTACAGTGGAACAGAGCCCATTGATCAGCCATTGCAGTCCAATCTGTTTACTACAGATGTCTAACCTGCACACGAGCCCATCCATCATATTCATATTTCACATCAACACTGCAGCTATATATTTGTCACACAAACGCACACATGCTAATATGCCAAATACAAATTTGTCTAAATGCATGCTTGTATGTACAGTATGTATATCATCATATGTAATGATTTATTAGGAGGATTATGGGTGGTCATGACGATGAGGAAGAGGAGGATGTCACTTTATCATTTGGACTTTAAGCTGAAATCTTTCACATTGTCACCGTAAGGTTGGATGCTGCAGGACAAGCAGGACAAACCATTAAAGCTTTAGTCAGGGAATCAGTGATACTGAAGAGACCAAATTTCTTGCGTCTGTTGTAGTTTTTTTCTTTAACGAAGTTGCTGTAAATATAGTAACATAATAAACACAACGCATGTAGTGACACCAACCAGTCACATACCAAGCAAGATGCTCTCCAGTGTTTCCAGGGACAAACGTTGGCAGTCCGACTCATGATGGATTTATTTGAAAATAGATTCATCAATATGAGAACAACATCCTTGAAAACACATTCCACTACCAAGAAATGTTTATAAGTAGTTTTAAAAAATGCAGTTCATACTTTTTATTCAAGTATACGTCAATCGACTGATAGACGTCCAACTTTTTGAGATAAGCGTGTATGAAAAGTAGATATCAGACTTTTTCCCCACATCATTTGCTGAGATTTTCTCCAATATTTGAGACCAAAGATTCAGCTAACATATATTCTCCCTCAAATATGTAGCGTAAATTGTTTTGATCATATAAAATAAACAGACACTGACTAAATTAAATTTCATACAATTCAGCCGCTGATACATTATTGTGTTTTATCATTGATAAAAGTTTAATCATGTTTTCCAGTCGTCAGAAGAGATTCAATTAAACCATTGGAGGTCAAATTGTTCTCAGTGGTAAAAATCTATCCGAACACCAAACTGCACTTTAATTTAACATTTATAATGCGTTATTCCAAAGCAGAGCTAATACACAGTGCAGTTGGTTTGTTCACCTAAAGTGATTACATCTGGCAACCAATATATTAGGACTGATAAAAACAGAACATCTGCATCCAAGAAACCAAACCAGCTAAGCAATAACACCTAATAAGATGTTGGGAATGTGTGGCCTTGATTTTCAAACTATTTCTTCAACAACAAAGCAAGTGTAACATTTCTTATTTAACAAATAAAACCGAAATTTCAGAAAATTCTTGTTAACAAATGACCGCAAATGTGATTTTAGAAATGCGTCCACATGTGAGGAGGCTCTACTATTTGGAGATTGTCACTGCATCAGCTCCCCACTGACCGAAAAGAATCTGCCACGTCTAGTCAGCAAAGACATGCCTTCCCCCTCTGGCTTTAACTTGTGTGGAAGAGGATTCGTTTCCCAGCAGGATGATAAGCCTAAACATGCAATGACGGCCTGTTTGAAAACCGAGGAGGAGCAGCAGCAGCAGCAGCGTGTAGTGCTGACGTGCAGTGCTTTACCTCCACAGTTACCAGACCTAAGCCTCTCTGAACATCTCTGGGAACATCACAACACCAGGCAGTCACAGAGTAATGTGATTATTGTAAAAGGTGAAAATACTGCATATTTAACACATTTTAAGCTGTTTTTTGTTCTCTACAGATAAATTTTACATGACTTTTCTGACACTTTTGACTCCTTTTAACATATATGTAATATAGTTATATAATATAACTTAATTACAAATGTTTTACAAAATTATTGCACAATAACTAATGCTGATACTTTATTTGAATAATCCGCCTACAGAGAGTTCATAGATTATTTGTAACTGCTTAGTCTAGATTCAACAAATCAGCTGTTTGACAAATAAAGGTTTGGTCATCTTGGTTAGTGTGTGCTCATGAACTGTCACATACACTCTATTATTATATCTATAGATAATCCGTTAAACATCTACAGACAAAGCAAAATACTGCAAATACTCTATAAAGAGGAATATCCAAATAAAATGTTACCGCTTTTAGAATAACTTCCTCTGTTTTTTTGCTGGAACAACACAGTTAATATTATTGTCGATATAGATTTATTTAATATCTCAGTATTGAAGTCCACACTGAGTTTCCATTTATTTTATGCAGCTTCCGGTTGGCCCGAATACCTTAACTTCCCTCCAGTGTGTGACCTTTGTGGTCTGTGATTTGCCCAGATGAGTGTGACCTTGCACAGGTTTGCATGTAATCTCTCTCTCTCTCTCTTTCTCTCTCTCTCTCTCTCTCTCTCTCTCTCTCTCTCTCTCTCTCTCTCTCTCTCTCTCACACACACACACACACACACACACACACACACACACATACACAATGGCCATATACCTTGCAAAAAGTGTTTTGTTTGTTTTTTTATGTTTTACATAAATTCCCTTTTTTTCCCTCTTGTAATATAAATGAATCAAAGGAGCTTCATAAGTAACAACATTTTGTCTTACTGATTTTATTTCTGTCGTCTAAGTAGAGAAAAATTTACTTTTCAGTTACAGAGAGGGGATTCTTCCAAAATCTGTGTATTGATTGTTTTTAAGGAGCCAAGACATTTGTGGGGTAACTAACAGCTGTTCAGTATTTTCAATTACAATTTTTAAGACTTTATTCTCTTTAAATGCCCAAAGATTAACATTAAAGTAAAAACAAATCTAACTCCTTAAGTTCTGTTGTGTGTGTGAGTGTGTGTGTGTGTGTGTGTGAGTGTGTGTGTGTGTGTGTGTGTGTGTGTGTGTGTGTGTGTGTGTGTGTGTGTGTGTGTGTGTGTGTGTGTGTGTGTGTGTGTGTGTGTGTGCAAGAAGCACATAAAAATAAAAAACAAGCCAGTGTTTATGTGCCTCCACAACAAGCTCTTCTCTCTCCATCGGCGAGTCACGTCCTGCCGCCTCATCGACCGCTTGCTTTGTGCCGGTTCGGTCGGCAGGTGTCGCTCTCGCCGTGGCCCGGCTGCACGGGGCGCCATAGTGCGCTGCCTTTGCTACAGGCGCTGGATTTAGTAATCAATATCGATCGATCGGTGAGGAAGGGGGCCCTGATTACTGAACCAAGCTCAGTGTAGAAAAGAAAAAAAAATCGATCATTGCAGCTTTTAGAGCTACAGTAGGCACCGAGCAGAGAGACGGACATAAACTCATGCACAAAGAGCAACCGGACAAGAGCAGAAATCCTGGTCTGGTGTTGAGTGTTTTCTGAGGTGTACACCCTGCTGCTGCTGCACGGGCAGAGAGAAATGTGATTTCTATTACTCGCTATATGGAGCTGCAAACAGGAGCTGACCTACTTTGAATGGATCCCT